GAAACCCCTGCCTCGTAAGTGCTACCGTTCGTGATGTACAATTACAATATTCATGCACGTGAACTCGACAGGAAGATCGAAGACAAATAATGACGAGGAAATCTCAAAAATTCTCTCCCTTGAGAAATCTCTTATTGAGATTGATGGAGCGTTGCGACGCATGGAAACGCAACTTTGTATGGGAAATGTTGACAATCTCACTGACTACAATCTTCGTCTCATTGAAGAGCGCGCTCACCGATCAAGAGTCGCAGACACTTTGAGCCGCTGGAAGACAAGACTTGGCATCAGTCAGCGCACCCGTCTAGAACAACTACGTCGCAACATATATCTACAAGTCCGTTTAGACGCTCAAGCTCTTAAAACGCGTATCCGCGAACGACTTCGACAGCGCAAGTTCGAAATTGAGAAGCTTGAACGCTCTTACAGGCAAGCTGTAAACGGTACTTATGTTCTAACTTGTACATGAGGACCTGAGGACCTGACTGCATTTTTTTGTCACAGAGCGCAAGCTTAATTCCCATGTCGATGCTGCAATCCAGCGGCGCAATCCTACGATACGAAAGCTCGTGTCCACATATAATAACTTATGTGATGATCTTAGTGCTCTTATCAGACAACGCCGCAGTCCTCCGAATGCTATACCACCCAACCCCATCTCTCCTACCGGTATTTTTGATCTTGATATTGATGCTGATATTTGGGAGGACATTGGACTTGACGATGTCGTGCCGGAACCCCCTGATTGGCTAGCTGATGAGGTCACACGTGCTGCGATCAGACTGCTGCTTGAGATTGACCGATGCAACGAAGAAGAGTCTCGTGTGAAGGTAGAGCGCTGTGCTCTGCAAGAGTGGGCCATGCGTGAGTGGGATGGTCTACAGAGGGCGCGTGCACATGCAAGTGAGTTTTGGACGCACCTCACTAATATTCCATGCTGACTTTCGAAGAAGATGATGAAGCGATCCTCTATCACATGAATTGCCGTGCTCGACAATTCATTGTCCTTGTACTGGGGTGGCAGACGAAGGTTCGTCCCATTCCATGTGCATGGCCTATGCCTGACTGCTGGGGGCCGTCTCAAACCGAACTTGCTAATGGGACACCTGTGGTTGTACCCTGATGACCCTGATGACGAAGATCATGTATCGGATGATGGAGATGACTGGGAATCTGATATTGGCTGTGGTGATGAGGAGCTTATGGATGTTTTAGAAGATATTGCATTAGCGGATCAGTATAGAGGGCAAGAGGAACATGACATCGAGGGTGACTATGTAATTCATGAATCATTGATAGATAGCCCAACAAAACGTGTTAGATTTAATTTGTAGTACTCTAGGTGTGCTGCACAATCTAAATCTGATGAGGAAAATGTAATTGGTACTTGATATCAGAGAGGTCGAGAATGTGCATATCACGTGATTTGACCATTATGGTCAGAAATTTCCAAGGCGCCTTGCAAGGGACCCCACTTGAGTTTGATTGAGGGGTTGCAAGAGCACCTGAAAATTTTCCAAGTTAATTGGAAAGAACTTGCCTGTGTGTTGCACAGAGCCGCAGTGCAAGGAGCTGGTCAATTTACCCTCACTTGCAATATTTCCGGCTTCCAAGGCACTTCAACAAATGGTGTTGGTAGGATCAGTGGGAAGGCCCGGTTGCTGATCGAACGGTAGGCGGAAGAGCCCAGATGATGCATATATGGTCGGTGGGAGAGCCCAAATGGTGTTGGTAGGGTTGGCGGGAAGGCCCGGTTGCTGATCGAACGGTAGGTGGGAGAGCCCAGAGGATGTGTATATGGTCGGTGGGAGAGCCCAAATGGTGTTGGTAGGGTTGGCGGGAAGGCCTGGTTGCTGATCGAACGGTAGGTGGGAGAGCCCAGAGTATGCGTATATGGTCGGTGGGAGAGCCCAAATGGTGTTGGTAGGGTTGGCGGGAAGGCCCGGTTGCTGATCGAACGGTAGGTGGGAGAGCCCAGAGGATGTGTATATGGTCGGCGGGAGAGCCCAAATGGTGTTGGTAGGGTTGGCGGGAAGGCCCGGTTGCTGATTGAACAGTAGGCGGGAGAGCCCAGAGGATGCATATATGGTCGGCGGGAGAGCCCAAATGGTGTTGGTAGGGTTGGCGGGAAGGCCCAGTTGCTGATCGAATGGTAGGCGGGAGAGCCCAGAAGATGCGTATATGGTCGGCGGGAGAGCCCAAATGATGTTGGTAGGGTTGGCGGGAAGGCCCGGTTGCTGATTGAATGGTAGGCGGGAGAGCCCAGAGGATGCGTATATGGTCGGCGGGAGAGCCCAAATGGTGTTGGTAGGGTTGGCGGGAAGGCCCGGTTGCTGATTGAACAGTAGGCGGGAGAGCCCAGAGGATGCGTATATGGTCGGTGGGAGAGCCCAGTTGCTAATTGAATGGCAGGCGGGAGAGCCCCGATGATGTGTATGGGGTGGGCGGGAAGGCCCAGATAGTACTAGAGAGGTAGGCGGGAGAGCCCGAACAGTGCCATTAGCTAGTCAGATTTATCTATCCCCCCCCCCTCTAGATAGCATCCCAAATTGAGATTGGCGCCTACATTCCTCTCTTCACCTCTCATACCTCCATTAGAAAGATTTGCTTCATTGGCGATGACAAACAATTGCCACACTATGGTCAGGATGATATCCACGACCTGAAGAGCATCTTCGAGGTCAAGCATCTCAAGGACCATGCCCTCTTCCTGAACACACAATACAGGATGCCTCCTCAAATTGGAAACTTCATCTCTCAAGCTGTATATGATGGCCTACTCGAGTCGAATATGCAACACCCCGTCACGAATGAGAGGATGGCTTATCATTTTATCAACATTCCCAGCCAGGAACAGTAACATAGAAATAGCCGGAAGAACCTTGGACAGTGCCAAACCATTTTCCATATTGCTACCATATTGCAAGCAAAGAATAAGCGATTCCGCATTATCACCCCTTACGACACTCAGCAGACATGAGATAAGTAAAGCTCCCACATTTTATTGCATATTATCTTTGCCACCCCCCCTTCCTTGCACACCCCCCCCCCCCGTCGTCTTATGACAGACTCGCAAGTAAAGCTCCCACATTGTATTGCATATTATCTAATGCCACCCCCCCTTCCTTGCACACCCCCCTGTCGTCTTATGTTAGACTCGCAAGTAAAGCTCCCACATTTTTTTGCATATTATCTTTGCCACCCCCCTTCCTTGCACACCCCCCCCGCTTTGTCTTCTAACAGACTCGCAAGTAAAGCTCCCACTATTGCATATTATCTTTGCCACCCCCCCCTTCCTTGCACACCCCCCCCGTCGTCTTATGACAAACTCGCAAGTAAAGCTCCCACATTTTATGCATATTATCTTTGCCACCCCCCTTCCTTGCACACCCCCCCCCCCCCGCTTTGTCTTCTAACAGACTCGCAAGTAAAGCTCCCACATGTTATTGCGTATCTGAGTCTGTGCCACCCCCCCGCCTTGTCTTCTAACAGACTCGCAAGTAAAGCTCCCACATTTTATTGCATATCTGAGTCTGCGCCACCCCCCCCGCCTTGTCTTCTAACAAACTCGCAAGTAAAGCTCCCACATGTTATTGCATATCTGAGTCTGTGCCACCCCCCCGCTTTGTCTTCTAACAGACTCGCAAGTAAAGCTCCGACACTTTATTGCATATTATCTAATGCCACCCCCCCTTTGTTGCACACCCCCCGTCGTCTTATGACAGACTCGCAAATAAAGCTCCCACATTTTATTGCATATTATCTTTGCCACCCCCCCTTCCGTGCACCCCCCCTGTCATCTTATGACAGACTCGCAAGTAAAGCTCTCACATTTTATTGCATATCCAAGTCTGTGCCACCCCCCTCTTTGTCTTCTAACAGACTCGCAAGTAAAGCTCCCACATTTTATTGCATGTTGCTCGCAAGACAACCTCATTACTCAATGACTAGTGCTGCACTCAGTTAGACTTCTCTTACGTTTAGGACGCTGTTTCAAGCCAAAAATCCTGCAGGTTTTTGTCCCATATCAAATCTTGTCTCAAGTGCATATACTGGCCTTGCATACCTAGTACTACTCCTTCTATGGATGTACAAATCGTGAATTTTTATGCCGTCAAAATGTCTGAAAAAGGACCCCTATCACCCCTATTTATGATGGGAAAGCCCTCCTGATAAATGCCCTGGGACATCCCAGAGACATGCTAGAGTGATCCCAGTTGGGATTGGGAAAGATCAAAAATAGGTCCTTGGGATGGCCCAGATACTTGCTTCAGTATGGACCGGGACATCCCAGTACATGGGGTAAAATACTGGGAATACCATCCTAGAACACACCCACTAGGTCCTTTGCTAGCCACAAACACATAGACCTAAGAGGTCATTTCAAGTGGTTGACTGAAGTGATATTTGGAAGCGTGTTTGACTTACTGAGTGGAGAGCACCACGTGCAGGCAACATTGACCTCGTTATTGAAGCGATCCAATTTTAGTCTTTCTACTTGCATAATCCTATTTCATCGCCCTCCATGCACATGTCTAGAGTAGACTATAGCGCTGGATTGGTAGCACCGATGGAGATTCAACTTATATCTAACGCCAGACTCCTGCCAGCTACTACTACTTGAAAGCTTCAACAACCGGATAGCTATGCCATTTCGGAAACTTGAAATTATGATATTGCTCTCCGTTCTTGATGTCCGGTATGACTAGCTGCATTAATTACACAGGATCAAGCACGGCCCATACAGTGTTGTGATTAAATGTGGCATTAACTTGAAGTCTGACGTCTCCCTATTTTGTTTCTCATCATACGCATCTCTTCAAACTCAAATCTCGTGTTCCACCCCAGGCCTGACACAGAACTGCGCAAGACCTGATTCAACTATGGTGAATGGTTGGCCAAAAACAACTCTACATCCCGTTCACGTGAGTCAATGCTGATTGGACCTTGGTGCTTGTCTGCATTTGGTCTGTTTGATTGTTCTTCACTATATAGACCACCTGTGACTCCCACGTATTGCCTCTAATTAGACGTGATTATAGATAGGGCTAGCACGTCTAAAACGACAGAGTTCCAGCGTTTCCAAGCCTCCTTCAATAACTCTTGGATAAAGAGTGACTTATAATAACAGTAGTTCTAGGTAACTAAGCGGGACGTCGGCATTAATGTTCCTGGCTTCGGCTATCATGCTCCCGCCATGTGAACCTTCGTGCCCACCGTCGTACACGACGAGCTCCTTAAACCATGCATATTGACAGCGCGTTTTTACACATTGGTGGCGCGTTTTTTACAGTGACAGCTACTAATCATTCAGATATGTACAGATCCTCAGAATATACATAAAAGAGTAGCAGGGTGTACTACTCGCCCTCGTCCTCTTCCTCATCAGACGACTCAATGAACTCCGCACTTTTAGGGGCCTCACGATGCTGGGCACTAGTATTCTTTTTCACCTTCTTTGACGGCCTTCTGTTCTCTTTGTGTGCCTGTCCTGTGGTAGGTGGAGCCTTGCGCTTGCGAGTGATTCCAGCATCGGAGCGCTTCTTGCGTGGCTGCCGAACAACTTGCCCCGCCGAACGGCGCGCATCAAGTTCAGCACTGTGAACCTTGACTTCGGCTGGAGTGAGAGCAGCCCAGTAACATGTTTGGTCCTTGAGCGCATCGCGGAGCTTGCGAATTTCACCGACTGTCCCGATGTTTGAGGGACTGGTAAATTTGATACCCTGGGGCCATCCTACTAGCTTGACCGCATACGTTTCGATAATCGCCGTCTCGTAGTTGTTGTAGTTCATCGTGATGTCTCTTTTGCCAGTCATTGCAACTGTAAAGATGTCAGACAGCACTCATGCACACTACTGTCACATACCCAGTCCTCGGACAATCAATTTTCGAGCTTGCTTGCGGACTGTTTCCAAAGAGTCTCGTTCATTGAGATCTGAAAAAGACTGAATAAGAATAAGATATCACTGTGAGGAGCCAGATGACTTACTTTGATTCTGCGTGCAGGCCCATTGTTCGTATTGTCGGAGAAAATCAGCCATTGGAGAGTCGTAAACGTCCTCCCAGAAGTCTTCAGAATTGTCAGTACCGTGCATTGTGCTTTGAATAGTGTCATTAATGTGACCCCGAACGACAAATAGAGTCCCGTAGGTGCCTGTGCGAATACGCAAATCATCGAGCTTCGAAGTGAAAATAAGTTCAGTAGAATACATGTGACAGGCGGAGAGCTCACCTCCTTGACCACCCTTTCCGTCGTGACTAAAACATCTCGCGCAGTAGCCATGTTATTTGCTCGCACGCTACTTACCTTTTGTTCACGGTGTTTGACTGAGAGCAGCTATATAAGTGGCCTTTTCACCCTTCGTCAAATCTTGCATCTGGGGGTCCTGAGCAACCATCTCGCGCAGCTCGACCAATGTGTACCGAAGGCCATTAGGCTGGCCTTGTTGCAACAGAATATGAGTATGAGAACAAGAGCAAGCAAAGGAATTTTTGCGTACCGCTGTTCATTTCCTTAGCTTTGGCATGAATTAAGGCGTTATTGAGGTGAACCTTGCGCGCCGTGCAATACTTGGTCTGATGACTGATTATGTCGTTGATCTGTTTGGGAGTAACATTGTGAGCGAGTGAGAGCAATTCAACTCCGTTTTTCTGTTCTTGCAGATGTTTGGCAACAGCATCGTGTAGATGCTTCGTAATTTCTGTCCTCTGGTCTTTCTTGATTTTCCGAGAGGCCTTCTGGGCATCTGATAAGCCGAGGCGGTGGGGTCCGGCGATGGATCATGGGACGTGTTGGGTTCGCGCTGCCCAGGTGGATGAATTTGCATCACGGAGGGGCTCTGACAATGACTCTTCACCACCAGGCGATGATGCGCGAGAGGAAGGTGTGGAGTTCACATGCGTCAGGTGAAAAATGAGAGATGACGGGAGTAGGAGGCTGTGGAAGGGCCGGGCCATCATTGAGGAATGCTAACTCATCACTTGTCAGTGGCATCGAGTATAATGATGGGTCTTCCCAATCGATACCGTGCCAAAGTTGGGGTGTATGGCTCGATCCTGTTTTTTTCAAAGGTCAATACAAAGAGTGGGAGATGCACATAAATAAACACTGCACCTTCATTTTCATTGAGCAACCCTGCGAGATATTCAGGTCCTCCGCCGTTGATGAAATTTCCATTGGTATTAAAGTCATCTTCAGAGAAAATGTAGCTCATAGTTGTCTGTGTGGGTAGGAGGAGTGTCGTTGTGGGGATGCGATTAAAAAAACAATGTGCTTGCTTCAGGAACCTGAAAAGCATACCTATGGGATCGATGACGCCATGGCAGTCGGATCATTGAAACCCTACAAAAAAGCATATCAGAGTCAATAATAGAACAACTCGAATAGAAAAAAGATGCTTGCCTTGAGAACCTAAGAATCACGCCAATGGAGTAGGACGAGGTCTGGAACATTCAGATGGGGTTGTTGTCAGCTTCCTCGGTTGCACAGCGGCAACTTTGTAATTTCGGGAGGAAGTTTTCTGATGGGGGACATCTCTGCTGGGATGACCTTGTCGCAATCCCTTGATCCAACTTGAATGCCGATGGTGTATAACATTGATTGGGGGCGATAACACACATCTCTGCTGGGATGACCTTGTCACAATCCCTTGATCCAACTTGAATACCAATGGTGTATAATGTTGATTGGGAGCGATAACACACATCTCTGCTGGGATGACCTTGTCGCAATCCCTTGGTCCAACTTGTATACCAGTAGTGTATAACGTTGATCGAGGGCGATAATGCACATCTCTGCTGGGATGACCTTGTCGCGATCCTGACTTGAATCCTGATGGTGTTCGGTCCCGGATAGTTCCACGTATGACATTGATTCAATGGGGGTGATCGCTGTCTCATTAACATTCTACATAATGTACGAGGGGAATCCCAAGGTAAGGGCATTAATATCAGATCAAGGAAAATCTCACGAACCGTTTTTTTTCCCCTCAAATCTATGGTAAGTCTCGATTTTGGGACTCACAGTCTGCTCACAGTTGTATAATATTCACATACATTCTAAGGCTAATCCTGCTGTTACTATGAGCAGGCAGCGCATGGCTACCAAGCGTTGGCTTGAGAAGCCAGGGTAAGCTTTCGCCTTTGACTGACACTGAGATTGTACTTCCCTGCTATTTCAGAGTTCGAGACACGCAAAATGCAAAGGCACGCGTTCGGATGGCGAGGTCAGTCCGGCTCTCATTCTCAAATCAAAATTTCGTGCTTAAATACATTTTTTCAGCAAGCGGGCCAGGTCAAATCACTTTTGTTTATTCCGTCTCTTACTCTTGCTGACTGCACTCATAGCCTTAAAAAAATACATGCCCCTGCAGAGCCAACTATACACATCCCTTTGGTCAGTTCGCCCGTGCTCGACGGTCTCAATTCTCGCGATATCACTCCTGAGGTCGATGATGGATCTCTACTGACTATGGAGAATGACTTTCCCTGTTCCTGCGACACGGCCAAACCTGCAAGACATTGAGAACATGGCCAACCAGTGGCAAAAGGGATGGCCCGGAAGTCTGAACATGCATGGGATGATGCGTATGAAAACCTACTCAAAGGTGCGCAAAAGAAGGGAGGACTAGAGACTATATTTTTCTGACGAATGTGGTGCGCATGCTTGTGAGGGGAGGGGACTTCTCGAATGTGTGCAAAACATTGTACATACCAGCTGCCCGTATTGCAGGGAGCGCCTCAAACATGATATTATTCTACTGCATGATTGCTCATTTGTATTGTTTTGGAGGTCAAATTCTTCGAAGTTAAGGTAGCTAACAGTAAAAATAAGTAGTTTGACTATATGATATGTCGAGCGATTATAGTGAATCCATAGCGAATTGATATCAAACACATAGCGAATTGATGGTGAACACATACCAGAATCCTTACATTATAGCGAACACATAGTGAATTGATATCA